CCCCCCCCCCCCGAACGATTCCCCTTTCCGCGACACGCACCGAGGAAAAACGCGAATCGATACCGGCGAAGAGAACAATGCACCCTTGGTTGCGTATTAGAATTCTGTAAGCTGACTTCTATAGCCCTATTCGAATTTTAGAAAGTATATACATACGAAACTAGGAAGAACTTTCTTTAGAAAACAGAATTGTAGTAGCCACGTGTCCTTGGACTTGAATAGGTGTTGTAGCATCTTTGGTTTGGATGTAACATTGGTAGATCATATGCCTGTGTTGATTACAGAAGGCGAACAGGATATCAGTAAATCTGTGGTCAACTTATATATCAGTAAATACTTGGTTTTATTTACACGTACCAACATAAGAAACTTTACACGACTATAACATTTGAGTAAAATTTGATATTTTAATAAATATACGTCTTGTTAAATTAAATATACGTTTTATAATGAAGCTTATAACACATTGTTTATATTGCGATATTGTTTTATTCAGTGCATGCGATAAATAGAAGAAATAATACAAATAAATGAAAATACAAAGATGAAATAAAAATGAAAAGATTACAAAAAGTAAAATAACCAAGAATATACACCTGCTTCTTAACTTTTGTTGATAAGTACATTTGCGGATGTTGAGGATACGAGATAGAGGCTGTAGTGTCGGGAAATATGTACCTAGATTTATATAATTACTTATTGTATATTATTGATTGGAGAATTGTTTTCTGTGGAAAAAATGGAAAATTAGAAAACTTTTGCAAATACTTTTAGCTTTGAATTCATTTGACCAATCTTTCCGTACATTATTCATTTATGTTTATTTATAAGTATATGTAATGCTCCTGATTTGTTTAGTTTCTTCGTGTAAAATATGTTCTCTGGTAGATGAAATTCAAGTGCGATATTTAAAAGTATAAGACATGTTTTTGTACGGAAAATATATTTTCCAATCAGCAGTTCTTAATAAATAACGGTAAATGAACTTAAAAGTACACCAATTAAACAAAAGTAAGAGTGGATAACTGTGTGTACTAAACAAGTTTCAAATATGGTATTCATAAGTATTGGATATACTTTTAATGGGTCAGGGTGGTTACATGCAAAAGCATGTACAATCATCCTCTGGTAGGTTGCACCACAGTTTTGGACTCATCCTGTATAAAAAACATTTTCGAATTTTCAATTACTAGTAAATAGATTTAGAAAATTTTAAAACAGTAAGAACACATCAATAGGAGGTTAATCCTTAACCAGGCGCGTCGCTTTTACCGCGCATGTTCTGTCGTGTGGTTATAGACCATCAGTATTTACGTAAACACACGACGCCCTCGACAGTGGAATCTATTTAACAGTTATTAGGAAGTGTGCGCTAAAAAAGATCCATAGAAAAACTGTGACACAGCAAACATGTATGGTCTACAATGGTAGACCGCGCGCCTGGTCCAAGGTTAGAAGAACAATCACAATCAAATACTTTTGCATATAAAATGTGTGTAGTTTATAGTAAGCAATATTTGTATGCGTCTGGAAAACATCTTCCAGTTATCAATTCTTATCAGAATGTTTTAGGAGAGTTTAAAAGTGCACGACTATCAGGAGGAATAAAAATGATCATGAGTGATCACGTGTTCAGTCACGTTTCAGTCGCTGGCGGGCTGTAAGTGCGATGATGTTAAAAAACAGACTTCGATTGTAAAGAAACATTAACATCTCATATATTAGAAATTACTCCTCAACTTTACTAATTTTTCAATATCTATAATAATTTCTTAAATTCCTAGATTTTATAGATATTTCCATCATTTGTGAGACTATCCATTTAGAATAGAATTTAATAGACTTCCTGCAGGAGAAGTGTTAATTACATATTGTCTAGAAGTCCGGCTCTATAGCGAGAAAATTTGAGGCACGATCGACGGAAATGCAGCGTCCTGTGCGCATTTTCGAAAGCGCACGCACTTATCTAGCCTACTTTCCCACGGCGGTGTCGTCGATAGGGGACATTTTAGCACGAACAAATTGTGCAAGTTGTCCTAACGTGTCTCGGTATTCCGTTACGCTATTCACGTTGCGATTTCTAGCGAGACGAAAGGATGTCGCTACCAGTTCCAATTATTGGTAATAACGTTATTTCAGCTTGATCCGGTTCGGTTATATACAACCGACCATCTGCTGTCGATCGTTCAATTACCGGCGACTAATCTACATCATTCGAACAATTTTCCTGTCGTAAAAACGACCCATCGAATTCGAACATTCTAATCCAACACTACTTTCTAGTAGTAACAAATACAATATTCTTCACTACCGTCTTGTATTTTTAGATATTTCTATCTCACCGTGTAATGACGATGACCCATATGACACTCATCATATCAAGAAGCGAAATATACATGGATTACGATCAGATATCTTACAGTGAGCGTAGAAAGTATTCGTACACCTCCTAAAACCTAATAACTTTATTACAATTATATAATATATATTTATTATAATTAATTTAGGCAAAACGGTCTAAATATTTGGGGGGATGTTAGAGTGATTAGTTTACTAAACAAGGGCTAAAACATTATTTTCAAAAATTTCAATTTATTGTCATGATAAAAGAATTAAAAAATTGTTTTTTCAACTTTTTTACCTGAGCCTATAACGAAAATTTAAAAAATGTATTTTGTAGATCTCGGTAACTTATATGCATGATGAAAATTTCATCAAAATCGGTCGACGCATAGTCAAGCTACAGCCACTGAAAGATGTAAAAATTACTTGCTTTTGGTTGAAATTCATGAAAAACTGCGTTTTTCGCGATCTTTAATTACTTACAACTCACGACAAGGTTAACCGATTTCGATGAAATTTTCAGCATGCATATAGATTACCGAGAATTATAAAATGCATTTTTTAAATTTTTGTTACAGGCTCAGTTAAATAGTTAGAAAAACGTCATTTTTTAAATTTTTTATTATGCCAACAAGTTACAATTTTTGAAAATAATTTTTTAGTCATTGTCTAGTAAACTAATCCTATCATCCCAAAAAAACTTTAGACCGCGTGGTCCAATTATAAAAAACTTATTCTGTTTCAGAAAATGTACGAATATTTTCTATACCCACTGTATATCTTGTGTTACGCTCATTGAATCACACAAACGAAGTCATTAAACATGTAACAATTAAATCTTGTTCATGATAAAACCGCGAAAAAAATCAAATATTGACAATTTTTCAGCCAAAAATTAGCGATATTAATTTATATAACAACAACAATAATAATAATATTTATATATAATAATAAAAATTACTAAAAATCTGGATAAATATGTAATTTTTATCTTTATGAAGCAACATGAAATAGCTGCTGGTGCTTCGTGGGCCAAATGATAAAGAAATGCTCCTTAACGGTTTAGAAACTGTATCTAACGACGATGACGATCATCTAGAACGATGATTGACTATTATCAGATTTCCTGAGTCAGAAACGTTAGCGTCTATTCATCCCGATTCGTGAAACGCAGACGTAAAAACCGTTCACGCTCTGGTCGGCGAAGGTTTAGGTAGTGACGAAAGCCTGATGTGCAACGTTCAGGAACAAGGATTCCAGCCGGGGGTCTCTTTTTGTCTTTGTTCCTCGACCAGCCGCTTCACCGGCGATTTGCATTGCAGATTGGCCGGTCTCGTGTTTGCGCGCGTTCGTCTGTTAACGTCTCTCGCTGCCTATGCGAGCTGTTGTACGATGAAAGAAAGAAATTAAACAAGCATCTCTCATTTCCACTGTTTCGTTTTCACCGCAATATTAGCCCTCTTGGAATTATCCGAAACGATTAGCAAGTGTCGTGGAATAAAGTGACACTATTGGCACAATTCTGTATTTTTCAACAGTTGGAAGACATTTTTCATACTTTTTCATCTAAGTTCTTTATATCAATCTTTGTTCTACCTATTTACAAACATGTTCGGTCTTTTCATTTAGTCTAATAGTTCAACTGCAATTTGTTTTGCATTTATAGCGGTTTTGACCTTGTAGGCATTTGCGTTGAAAATATGATTAGAAAAATTGAGTAATCGTCTTGAGTTTATCGTCTCTTTATCTTTATTCTACTAGCTCATCAATTTTTATATTTGTATTGTACTGGCTGTTGGAAAATTGAGTATTAAGTGGGGCGTTTGTAATCATGGATCGAAATAGGTCCAAGTGATATCTTAGGAGAATCAATCTACCGCAACGTCATTTACTGGGATTAATGATCTAGTCGATCAGTTACGACTTTTTGTCGGCTATTATAATATGGAACAGGAGTGATCGCGTGATAGATGTATGTACATATTATATTAGTGTCGCTGTAGCATTTGATCTTTAACCACCATACTCAACCTTTTCTGCTACAGATTTCACACTGTTCCTGAAAGCATAATGCGTCTCGCATATCGATTTGTTATTTCGTTTAGTCTGCAAATAAAATTTGTAATTTACCTTCTCATTTGATTGATCTTGTATCATTCTGATACTAAAAAGTTAGGAAGAATGATGTTTCATAATATTGGCTGCAATGTTCAGAGAATACGTGACAACGTGTTGCGTCGTGTAGAAGTATTTCCACAGATCAGTGAGTCAAGGCAAAGATAACAAGACCATAATTAGAGTGATATGATACAATTTAAACTACAAAAAACGTGGAAATATATAGATACATCCATTCATTGCTCACAAAAACTTCTTTAGAATCTCCACGATTGTAAAATAGGATATCTGAAATACAATAATTTTGATAAGTTGGGATGCTGTAATCTTAAATCAACAGAAACATGAGAATCAGAGCAGTAATCCTCGCTTCACGGTGACCTGTCAAGATAAGGGAAGGACACATGTAAACTCGTCGCACTTAAGAGAACTATTTCAAGCCTCAAGTAGTCCAATGATTAAGCATAACTTGTGTAATCATAAATTGTATCAGTACTGTTTTGAAACAGACACTTAATACTGTGATTTTGATACCGGCGTTACACTAATAAGATTATATCGAAACCGATATAATAACGAAATCGTTACAGTATCGAAACATATGAATATCTTTGAAAGATCGATCTTTTATGGGCGTCCCTATTGTGAATACCGAAATCAACATACAGTAAGTTCACGAAAGTATTCGAACACCTTTTAAAAGGCAATAACTTTTTTCAAACTGTACTAAATGACTTGAATTTTTTTTAGTTGATAGAGAGATGAGAGAGATAATCCATGAGACAATAACTGAAATGCATTTTCTTAATTTTGCTCTTACTTGGAATGACAAATATAGTAAAAAAATCTCGTTCTTTAACTTTTTTTATCTGAGCTTATAACAAACATTTGGAAACTACCTTTCCAAGATTTCGGGAACTCATGTGCATGCTGAAAATTTTATCGAAGTCGGTTAATCCAGAGTCAAGCTACAGGCGTTGAAAAGATTTCAAAAACTGCAGATTTCTTATAGCTTTTGGTCAAAAGTGTCAAAAATCGGGATAAAATTGCGTTTTTAGCGATCTTTAATTATTTGTAACTCATAACAACGTGAAGCAATTTCGATACAATTTTCAGGATGCATATAAGTTACCGAGATACACGAAAGGCATTTTTTGAATTTTTATTACAGGCTCAGATAAAAAGTTAAAAAACGAGAGTTTTCTTTACCTTTTTTGTCATTTCAAATAAGAGCAAGATTAAGAAAAAGCATTTCAGTTATTGTCTCGTGGATTAGTTCCACTATCATCTAAAAAACAAAATTGAGTCACTTCGTTAAGTTTTAAAGAAATTATTGCTCTTTAAAAGGTGTTCGAATACTTTCGTGAGCTACTGTACGACAAAACTCGAAATAAATGTAGGTGTTATTTCGGCTATCTTTTTAGTGACATAACAAATGTTAATAAGGTGATAGATTTTAAGTAATACGAATCTTAACTACAAACTTATTGATATAATAACATATTCTCGTAGGAAAATATATATATTTTAGTATAATAAAGTATATTGCATAATTTCAGTCGCAAGAAAAAATAGAATATTTCGTTAATTCTTGTCGAAGCCTAACGACCGTAGAAGTACCGATCGCTCACACATCTTGCATGTATGTATTACATATAAGGTATGCCAACTATTCTAAATTATAACGGTTTTCAAGGTACTGTCGAAAAATACCGGTGCAATACCGATAAATTAAAGGTTTTGCCTTGAGATTATGTTGCTCGTTTTGGGTTACATTACTGCTATACCTTCCGAGCGGTTGAACGGTTCTATTACGACGGATTCTAAATTCAGATACGGCCGTTATCAATGCGAGCGCGTTTTATCTCGGCGCACGGTCGTAATTCTAACTGAATGGTTTCGCGGCGGATCGTTTCACATGGTCGCTTGACCGTTGAGAATTAATCGGTGAACGTTTCACGAGCAGACAGAATGCGGCTGACGTATATGTCGGCCGTTGCTGTTGGTGCCGGGACGGTGGTCGTCTTCATTTGGTGGTGGTGGAAGACCAAGAGCCAAAAGGATAGGCCACCTACGCAATGGAGGAAAGTCGGCGAACTCAGCGATCTGATCGCGTTTCCGATTAAATCGCTAGGACCTGTGCGATTGAACACTATGGAGTGCACGAAACTGGGTCTGAAGTCTGGTTGGATGAGGGATAGAACCTTGATGGTCATCGACCTGAATGGACACTTCGTCACTGCCAGGCAGTGGCCGAGAATGGTCCTGGTAAGGCGCTTCCTGTTATCCTAATGATCTTTCTTAGATTGTCATTACAATCAACTGTAATTGAGTCAGAGAAACTGATTTTTTGCAAAATGAAAGTTTCTCGCATTTAGTAATTTAATAAGTTCTTGACAACTTTAACTTTTAACGTAAGTGCATAATTTCTGCAGTCTATTCGTTGCTGATAGCTGGACCGTGGATCTTCGTACAAAATAATTCGTTTATTAATTTCTAAAAATACGAATTGACTAAAAACTGATTTCTTCTTTTAAGAATTATATAAGCTAAAAATACATCGATGTCCCTGAATTCTTTCAGGCTGTCTCCTATTCTAAGAGATTCTCGCAGTCTTTAACATAAATACATAAAATTCATAGTTTATTTATTGGTAGTAGATAGACTGCAAGTCTCCGAACATTCATTACGTTCTCAAATTTGTGACATACAGGCAAACGTTTTCATAAATAATGCGGATGTTACAGTTGCAATTAAAAATAGTAGACAGATTAAAATAATTAGAAAGTGTCAATGTACTATTCTTGATCTATTAAAATTATTAGAGACAAAAAGAACTTGCTTATTTAGTTTGTATTTCTTGCAACTTATGTAGACAATTCTCATTTTGCGTAAAAATCCGCACACTAATTATGATTAATAACATTTCTATAGTATTTTTCAAATCAAAAATTTGGTAGTAATTGAAACAATTTTCCCTTTTAATTTCGAACTGTAGAAAGTAATTTATGGGAATTTGTATAGGGATCTAAGTTCTGTTATTTATTGTATTATATCATTTACGAAAAGAACACACTGACTTATACGATTGTTTTTCCCAAGTTTTAACTTCGAATCTGATGCAATCCATATTTGTACGTAATAATTTTTTGCCCGGTGTACGAAGGTTAATGAGAGGAAGTTAGCCTATCTAATGTTTGGTAAATTGAGATTTGATGTGTCTGGATGTACTAATGAAATTCTATTTTAATACGCCGTGTCGGACGCATAATGTGCGATGAGGTTTAACGGATGCACATAAGAGACGTTGATTAAGAGCTAATTGTGTTACAAAGTGGTAAAGTAATTGATACGAGTCATTTTCTATGGAAAAAACCAGGGATCATTTAAGAATCCTTTCGCGCGAGATTCTTCGAAGCACGGTTACCAGGGATTGATAAACTCTAATAGCTAAACTCTAATCTTATTGATAGCCTGATAAAATCTTTTACATCGTACGATCTCTTTATTCGAAGGGACTAATGGTTTTACAATGTAAAAAAAATATTTTACAATGAACATTAATACAACGTCAGAAGATAATTATTGCCTTCAAGTTAATGAAAAATTAATTAAAAGATTCCCTTTTTAGACGAAAATCAAGTTAAAAGACACAAATAATTACCGTGATAGCGGCCGAGCAAATCAGAAAGGGACTGATCCGAGATAATTGTGTTTGATTGTGTTCATGGATTGTTGAGTTCCAGCAGTAGCAATCCCGAAAGCCATATTTTGATCATACAGAGTTCCTTCATGGGGCCAAAGTAGTTCCATTCAGGAAACGGCGGACTTTTATAATCGGAATTAACGAACCGTTCCATCGTCGTGAAAACTCGCAGAATTAACTACCGGAATAGAACGGTAATCATTAATTCCGCAGCGTCTTCTTGCCTCGAGACGAGCATTCGTTTTTCATCCCGATTCATCGAACGAAATTTTTACGATCATTAAAAATCGTTTGATCCCAAACGATGCTTTCGTGCGAGTGAAATTTCAACACAATGCATCTCATTCGTGATTGATTATAAACTTACCTCACCGGAAGTTTGGGTACTTGGAAAATTAAAAAATATGAAACTCCGTGTACAAGTAGAGTAAGTCATTCATAATACATACCTATTCTCCGTTCGTGCCATAATTCACTTTTAAGGGGTGTCTTCACCCCCTAAAGACAATGGAAAAATATCTGTTTCGTCGAATATCTCGAGAACGGTGCGAGATATTGAGAAAAAGTTTAAACAAAAGTTGGATGTTATTTCTATGTCTACAAGAATGTGTAAAAATTAAAAAAAAAATCAATACTTTTTGAGTTATCTCCTCCACCACCCCTTAAAATTCATTTTTTATAAATCTAGGTTAATATGCTTTCGGTATCACATTTTTATTATAAGAATGGTTTCGCAACGGATAATTTACATTATTAATTATATAAATTTCATACTGCAATATGAAATTCGATAAATTAATTGATGACGTGTACAGTTCATAATGATAGCATAAACAGACATGTTTTATTGATAACACACGATATATTAGGATTTGCGTGATTATTGAAAATAACTTATAATACATATACGAGGGGTTGAGGGTAGTAAGGGCGCACTTAACCTTTTTGCCATTTCATCATTTTGTTCCATACTATTATAATAATTTTGTTTGTTGTATTGTTTCTGTTTAGTAGAATTTTTCAAGTATTTTTGAATATACGTCGGATATTTCTTGAATTCGCCTCCATAGGAAATGTTTAAAACAAACCTGCATTTGCTGATTGTGTCAAACCTTTGACACATTATAAGTAGAACAGTACTGAGACTAATCATAAAAATGTTCAAAACAGACATACTCGCCGCACTACGAACATCTTACAAAAGCGAAGGTTCCGCAAACACTTTCTGATTTTTAAAATAACAAAAGTCCACAGGATTTTCAAAGACCCCAAGATACATTTCTAATCATCCGCTTTTAAACCAAGCATATTTAATCCTTTTAGTGCCGAACAACGATATATCGTCGTTTGGTACACTAGCGAAAAGTGCCAACGACGATATATCGTTGCGCACGCGTTGGCGTCTTATTATACGCATCACAAGAGATCTGTATCTCAAAATAACTTTATAAAACGTTAAAATACTTCAAATTCGATGCAACACAATTGAAAGAAAAATGTTTATTAGATTTTTTTGTTATATCTTATGCTGATCAGTGCCGAGGCTCTATACATATATGTCGGAGCGATAAGGTAGAAACGGAACACGGAATATCCCTCGATACGGAATACATAGTTTCTTGGGACCGTAATCGCAATCTTTGCGATGTTTATAATAGTTATCAGACAGTTCAAGTGACACGCCGTGCATCGATACGGTGAGACTAAGATTTTTCTTTCAGTTTTTATTGACCCTTATAAAGAGCAGTCAGTGTTCGAAAACCATCAACGTTTTGATAAAAATACAGTTTGTATTTTTGTTTATTAAAAATTACTGAAAATGAAGTACTTATATTTTATACCACGTGACCTACATAAAATTGATAAAACGCTGATTAGTGAAAATATTGTTTGTAAAAGAGAACCTTGTTTCTATGCTTTTTATTATTGTCTATATTGCTGTTATTCATATAATTTTCAATAAGTATTGAAATATACAATCGCCATTACATTACTCTCCCATTCTTCCCCTATACCTGTCTCTTATACACATCTAGATGTGTATAAGAGACAGGTCTATATTGCTGTTATTCATATAATTTTCAATAAGTATTGAAATATACAATCGCCATTACATTACTCTCCCATTCTTCCCCTATACACTGCTTAGTTTGGTTTTTATGGACTTTTTCCTAAACCATAGTAAATTTGTCAAATTCGTCCGGTGATCTTCCCATAGACGCCTGTTTTTCGTTCGGCACTAAAAGGGGACCTAGTCGAGGACAGCAGGTTGTCAGTAAGCGACTGTAATTAGATGATTACATAGCGTGCATGCAAAATATGTATCTCTTGTAAATTATTTCAAAATATTCAAACACACTCTAATATACCGTATTTTATGAGAAAATTAGTCCAATAAGATATTACACATATATGTATGTAGTCCTCATGTGACAAGATATAACCTTTGTATTTACATCCCCCTCTTACTAGTTGCCGTACTGCCGCAACTATCGATCGCTAACGACCGCCTTCGATCTTTGACACCGTTTTACAATAATTTTTCATTCTCTTCAGGGTCGAAACACATTTGCCAGGCTCGGTCATGCTTCAACGTCAAGATATTCTTTCATCTATCAGCGGCGCTTGTGTCGTACCATGAACGCTCTAATGTAAAGCAAATGAAAGAATATCTTGACGTTGAAGCACGTCGCATGTGTGCCGTCCGACTAATATTGTTGGTCTGCTACGTTGAAGCACGACGTGAGTATAACCTATGTGTTTCGATCCTTAAGGGTTGAAATCACCCCTTAAAAGTGAATTATGATGCGAACGGTAAATAGGTTATGGATAATTAAAAAAATTAAATTTTATGGATAATTTACTCTACTTGTACACAGAGTTTCATATTTTTTTGAATTTCCGGGTTCCCAACTTCTTTGTTAGTATACATCCTGGCATGGAATTAATGGTAAAACAAGATGATAGATAAATAATTAGTTGTAAATTACTTTTTTGGAAAGGAAAACCTGTGTTAAGAGATAAATTTATCGGTAGAAAGATCAAAGGAATTTACGAATACCGATGCATTATTTACAACTTATTAATGCTATGAAAGAGAAAAATAAATTTTTATTTGATCCCAATGGCTTGCAATTTATAATAGACACATTTTTCTTATTTTACATGGGGATTTGCAATCTAACAATTACTGAACTGTTTCTTATAACTAGACTGCAGATTTTTATACAATATGTGAAAATTTCTTCTTTTATTAATTTTAATAGATTACAAAAAATACATATAATGGTATCGTTAAACTTTTCGCAAAGTTTTGACTATTTTATGTTTGACATATCCACTTTTATCATGAATGCAGAAAGATTCGAAGTCTACTCATAACTCATAAATATTTTAATATTCCATTTCTAAAGCGATATATATTTGCAAATAGTATCTTACTTCCATTTTATTTTTTCGTGTAAAATTTCAATAATTTGTCATTTCTAAAGGTGTCACCAAGCGTGTCTGGGTCAGTCTTGACGCTCTCAGCACCTGGGATGATGTCGATGTCCATCGACTTGTCGCGGATTCAAGGCAAGAGCTTCCGGGTGGCCGTTTGGGGACAACCTGTCGCAGCTTGCGACTGCGGCGAAGAAGCAGCCAGGTGGCTATCGAGATTCCTTCTTCTGGAAGACACAGGTTTCAGACTGGTTTACTATCCCTTGTCTGAGCCGAAACGGAGTCTTCGAGAAAAGTCCAAGAAGTTTGGCTTTACTTCTGACGATCCTGTGAGTTTTCTATTGTGTTTAACACCTTAGCTAGCAAGAGCAGCAAGAACTGTAGATAGTGGAAGCTTAATAATTTTATTTAAAATATCTCAAGTCTCAAAAGATTGAGACACTATGCCTACTAGATTATTTTACTTTTGTCGATGCACATGTCTTCTCGTAGCTTAAAGATGCACAGATGCTATAAGTTTATAACGATCCGCTGTCTATTCGTAATTAACGCGTTAAACGCTGATTATCAACTTCAAAAATTCCTACAATATCAAAATCATTTAGTTAATTCAACAAAAATTAGAAAGTTAAAATTTACTATAGGAAGTATTAGTTTAATTCTGTTGCATACTAAAAATCTTAATAATTTTCAATTTTTTCAATATATTACAATAAAAATGAATTTCAAAACCTAGTATAACCAACACGACTTTCAATATTTTAACAGTTAGGGAATTTAATTATGTTTTCTTTTCGATCAGGGAGCTTATCCAGACGAATCGAGCTACTGTCTTATGAACGAGGCATCAGTGGCAGACTTGAACACCCGATTGGAAGAACCGGTGAATCCAGACCAGTTTCGTCCTAATTTCGTCGTGAAAGGAGCGTTACCTTACGAAGAGGATGGCTGGCGCTGGATAAAGATAGGCAACGTGGTCTTCAAGAACCTGATGCCATGCACCAGGTGTATACTGACCACCGTCAGTCCAGAAACCGGGACGAAGTGTCCTAACGTGGAGCCACTGAAAACCCTAAAATCGTATGTCATCAAACTTAACAAGCTTTGCAAATTGTCCTTAATTTTCTTCATCTTTCTTTTGCCTTTCCCTTCATGCTCCTTTTTGTACTTTTGCGACAGTCATTATTTTCAAAGCAGAACATTATACATACCCCAGCTCTACTTTTATCAGTTTCACATATTGTGTCTACATTATTCGCAAGTCTATGTATATTGACACAATTAGTACTTCAATAGCACTGAAATTCAATACATCTATCACTTGTATTCCCAAACATTAGTAGATCTACAATTAGAATCATTCTTACCTAATGTTTGAAATATTTTTTCATGACCTCCGTAAGTTAATCGTCGACATTAAATATAACATAGATTATGATATCCTAAAAAGATTTATAAATAAGGATCTAAATCTGAAGCTGGCCACGAAATCGTCAGAAGCATATATAACAGACGAGCCTAATTTAGACTAACATCTAGGTTGAACCATTATACATCACCAGGAAAAAAGATACCTGCACGCATTTACCAGTATGCATTGAGCATGGTTTAATATAAAATACTCACTGGTGGTACTAATTCACTATAACTTGTAAGTTAAGTTTTACCTAGTTGCTGATTCAACCTAATTACCAGTCCAACCTAAGTTGATCCAAATTCACCAATTATCTCAATCATCCAATTTTCGAGATCCCACTCTGTCAGTAATATATCGCACAAATCCCCAGACGTCTGCACAACTTTGAGAACTAGTGGAACAATGAGACTGACGTAGTACTATTTACCTTCCAGTTACAGGCAGGCAGTGGACCCCGAACTTCGTCGTCTCTTCGGCGAGAGTCCAATAATGGGATTTCACTTAGGCATAAGAGGTCGACCCGGCAGCGTGCGATTAGGCGATTCAGTGTACGTCGGTGTTCCTGAGGAACAGCCACCGTTGATCTCGCCACCCTAGCTACATCGATGGGCTTCCTGCGAAGACGAACATATCGTCTTCAAGGAAGTCCGAGGATTGTCGAGCAAAGACTCTTCATCCGCGAACACCGCCACCAAGGACAATACGTAACGAAAAGCCTAATCGAAGTAATGTGTCTCAATTTCGTTGGCCTAACGGTAAATATGATGACCCTTACACGAATTGAATACAGTCGTTAAAGTGATTAGAGTTAAGCAGCCAAACCGCGTTGGAACGATTCGTTGTTCCAATCAGAGAGCAATTGATAGAATTAAGTTGTCTAAACTATAGTTGTCCACGGCGACTTGAAACCTGACAGACGCTTGATAATCGTATGAATCCCATCGACAATACTACCAATCGCGTTTGGGTTTCGAAGAAATGTTGATCCGAAGAGTAATTTACCGCGGGAATCATTGCTCGAGCGTATTTTTGCTAAATAGCGGTCATAGATCTTAAAATCGACGTTGTTGATGCAGAAACCTTTGTCGACTATTTATATTTGTATCGATTAATAAACAATTAAGAGAGGAAGATCTCCTTGCGAAAGTCTAATCGATACCAATCTAGTTCGAAGCGTAATTAATGAATCTCGTGTGTCGCCTGTCTATTTACATTTGCATTGAATGCAACCAACTTGAGTAATAAGCAATTTGTAGAAAGATATCCTTTGTGCGGAGATGTGGTGATGAACGTTACGGTTAGGGGATAGAAAGAGGGGTTCCGTTTTATGACAATAAGATTTATTTATTTACACTACAAAATAACAGGGACGATTTATGTTCGATAGATTATGCGTTCAATTCGAGGATCAACGAACGCACCTGTGCCGAACGAGTATGTTCTCTTATCGCGCTTTCCTGAACAGGGAAAAATCGAAAAGAGAATGGGCTCGTTCTCGACTCGAGTCGAGTACGATGAACAATTAATGACACACCAAAATTTCTGGGTCTTTAGTACGACCCTTAACGCTAGACTTGACAAACAATTTGTTCGATAATTTTGACTTACATGTTTGTTCACATCTTTTGAAGTATTACACAATAGAAAATGAAAATTCCTGTGTGACAACTGTTTGCCAATTCGTGTAACTTCACTCGACTCAATATCTAGCTGTAATTAACTTTCTTCAGCTTTGAAAATTAATTATTGTCACAATATATTTTGCAAATATCCTTTGCAAAGGATTACAAAATATTCGAATTTCATTAATATCCGCAGGATTTAAACAAACGAAACAAGTAATTATTTTAACAAAATTTAACTCTGCAATTTATGTTCTTTTACGAAGTTTCACAATCTGTTCAAATAAAATTTGCAATTTCACTCAGATAACTAAATAGATTTCAGCAAGCAAATATATGAGTCGACGTGCATTTGCAACAGTTCCAGGACAATGGATTCTCTAATCTAGTTTCAGCGTTAAGAGTTGTCGCAAACATCCGATTCACGCTTCCGGTACTCACAATTGGTCGCAGATTTCCGATTCACGCTTCCAGAATGTCAGGATTCGTCGAAATTTCCGAGTGCACCGCAGTCGGCGCTCTTAGCAACCCTTATAGAAGCAACAGACAAGGAGGCAGAGCTGCTAATACAAGGAAGGGGGTTGAAACAATCAATGCTTGGCACTGTTGCGTTCCGGGAGTAGCTATGTACAAGTCCGCTCGAGTTTCTTCTTGGCTTGACGCGATCCGACGAATTTCAGCACCGACAAAACAGGATGCGACCTGCGTTTATCCTAACTTTCCGTTCAGCAACGTTCAGACCAACAACATACATTTTCGATGTTCCATCGCTCACCATTGCGTGTAAAAACAATCGATACATATTACAATACATCACGGTACATATACAACATTGGTAAACATTTGCAGAATAGATTCGACGTATTCAGACAACAATATAAGTGAGAAATAATTGAAAAATGATGAGAATTGTGACCTTGAGGAAAATCTCTTGCTTACAGTAACATGTATCCTTTCAACAGTAATTGTGTTCTTATCTGACAATTTTGCCCATAATCGTTAATTTTTAGCTTCGAGTTGTCCTTCTGATCGCTCTTGGCGATATTTATGTTCAGTTTAGTCTGGAGAATAGTCATGAATAGATTCACGCTTCAGGATGGGTCAAGTATTATCCGAATTTGCTTTGAAAACCGGTCGTAGAGCAAACCATCCGTCGAACTGTGGTTAGATTTCGTATCACATTCTCTCTGCATGATGCAACAACACCAGCACGACGTCGGAATGTGCGTACTGAAGCGAATATTGCTGCTGTAAACAAAAGTATGCAAGAAGATCCAAATTTATCAATTCCTGGTAAGACGCGAAAAAATTGGATTACTAGAATGCGTTTCGTCAAGAACAGTCGCGGTTGCCACATGCTCGAAGCCACTTGTTTGAATAAAAAATATTTGTCATTTTTTTTCCTTAAATTCAAAATTCTGTTTGACTTGAAAATATATCGTTTACACTGACAATATACAGGGTGTCACACCTATAATAGGTCATCTAATAGAAAGAAAAAAAATCAAGGACGATTCCGAGCGAAACGTTGAAAAATGCCATTTGCAAATTACAAATTGCATACATTAAGAAGCGATAATTTACAAAAGAAACTAAAGAGGGTCGTTACGTGAAGCATCCTGTATATTGTCCGAGGAACAATGTTAAATCCTTGAATCATTGACAATGTGTGTCGACAGTCTGAACGCACATTACAGGACGCAATCGCGCGAGAATTCTTGCGGCGGTCGTCGAATCTCAGAGCTTATTTAAACGCTATATGTATAATTGTGAAGAACTAGGGACCACGAGGATAGAGTGAGAGAAAGGGTGGAGTGCGGAAGAAGAAAGATGAAGAAAGTTTCACGTTGGAGGACGACTAAAAGGTGAAGGACGACATAGAAGGAGGAGAGGTTGAGGAGGAAGGGAGAGAACGAGAGAGGACAGGGTCGCGGTCTTGCGTGATATCGAACTTGAAGTCGCGAGGTTTCGCATCACGATGACGAGTCGACCATCGACGAGACACTTAGGACCTCGGGGACAAGGGGGCAGCACGCTGATTATGTCAGTCACGTTGCCAACGTCGTACCCGTGGTTCCTGCGACGATCACGGCTCGGTTTATGGCTCCCACGTGGCCCCACCACAGCAGGCCATCTTGAATCTTGTTTTGCACTTCCTCACCCTAGTCCTTCCGCACCGAGTTCTAGATGATCGAGGTGATCAGTCTCGCCTTGAAGTTGACGATACGCTCGCTCGTTGCTGCCAGGCGCTGGAGGGACAAAATGTTCGTCAGTTCTTGAGTCTATTAAAGGTTAACTTAAAGCCCTAAGTAACTCAGTTAGGGCTGTCTAGAATAGGCAGGCCGTTCCAGTCAGAGCAATTTCGTGTTTGGAATAGCTGCAGAATTTGTCGCAAGAGATTATCTTAGATTGAGATACTATTTCTGACCCTGCTGTTTAGAAACTGTTAAGAAACTGATAGATACTTTTAGGATTGAAGTGAAATGTTCCTTTTTCTGTGACTGGTACTATGATGGACGTACGTTTGCTTGAAACTGTGAAAGTGATTACAACATTCATAAATTTAGAAGAGATTATTATTAGCAAATACTAAGAGATGTTCCCGTCGGTTTTTGTCAGCCACGATTTTTGGGATATCATGGGAGAAATATAATAAATGTGCAAACATATAATTTAATCAGTTTTCTATGTAAAAGACATGCCTCAGTGGATGGAATTTCTAAACGTTGAAAACAGATCTGTGAACAGCATCATGAACTAGAAAAGTATTTTTCCAACACAGAATTCTGCTCTACGATTGCCACACAATCTACTTAAGTTAAGGCCATAATAAGATAAGTACCATTATTATGGTTATTTATTTTATTAAAACAGGTGTTTCTCAATAAATCCTCCAAACCACAGATTCTTTTATAAATGACTAAAATTTACCTTTATATCTTTAGAAGGTAAGAAGTATAACAACTACTACACGTTCTTCCTCATTCTCTGTAAACTATAAGATAATCTACCACCACTTGGACGAAAATGTCCAAGGAAATTAGCATTGCGATTTGATGCAACTTTGTAGCATTCCAAGCAACCATTGCATATAGACAATTTTGATAAACTTCCAATTATTCTATACAATCTACTTCAGTTAAAATAGATACTATAATAGACATTTTTCTTGTTTCAGTTAAACCTGGTATTCCTCAATAAATCCTTCAAACTATAACTAATCCCTAAAAAGACTCTCTCCTTGCATCTTTCGAAGGTAAGAACATAATTGCAACCAGTTATTACACTATGTCCTAATTAGATGTCACACAACGACAAAATCGTTGTCGTACTACTGACCGACCAACGCCATAAGAAACAAACAAAACACATGTTATGGTCGCATCCAAATGGATGTTGCGTGACGATCATAGATCATCCCTCGTTTCTTGTTTGTCGTGTTGATCGGTCGGTTAGATTTATCGCTATACGACATATAATTAAAACATAGCCTTACACGATTTCTACATTGTCTGCAATTTATAACATAATGTAGGCAGTTATCGCGGCTATGTTTCATTTTGCATCTTCCGGAAGTGTCCACGAAAATTTTGCTTGCGAGCCAATGTGCAGCAGGACTGCAGAACGCCACAATTCCGCAGAGAGGTCTGGCGATCACAAACGAGCGAAAGGTGTTCCACGTTCGGATTCCTTAGAAATGTTCGGCTGTTTTTCTCTGTTCTTCCAGGAAAAAAAGACCGCTGTTTCCCGCGCGAAGAAATTTTGCAACGCTTTCGATAGAGACCGCGAGCGCCGGCCACTTTCGACTCTTCTTATCCGCGCGACCGAGGTTTCACCGTCATCGCCTCGGTTGAAAAAACGATCGCCGATCGACGTGGCCCGATCGACGGCAATCATTTCGCCTCGGACCCGGAGTCTGTAACGGAATTCGCCGATTTTTAGCATCGGTAGTGGCCACGGGAGGAAACGGAGAGGAATTCCCCGCGATGCGCGAAGCGTGAACGCTTTCCAGCCGATGCCCGCTTCTTACCGCGCGAACGTTACGCATAATGAGCGGGATTAGCCTCCGTGATCGCTCGTATGAGTCTCGTCTTAGCGTTCTTAGTTTGCTAGTACTATACAAGATGATCTGCGAATATATTTGCCTCCACTTCCATCATTTTTAACCACTTTGCACCGTGACAATGTGCCAGACTCTCGTTGCGGAGTTTTCGGATATAATCCATTGAAGATAAATATCATCCACTTCTTTAGTATTTTGAACAATTTTTTAGATCTTTGTTCGTATTTTATCAGTCACATTATCTACAGTTTCCATCAGCAAGTTCTTTTGAAAGTCTGACATTTATGAGTATATTCCATGAAAAATTTAATTGAAATAGTAAGACGAATATATTAGTCGTAAGACAAATATTGTAATTTTACCATGACGAGTGTGCTCGTAATTCACAGTTAAGAGGTTAGATATAAATGCAATTAAATATTTCTGTCGCCGACACATTTGGTGATTGCAATTAATATAGACATAAATATTTTCCTTTTTACGTGTGGGAATTTAGTAACGACAAAGCTACTCAACGTATCTGTAAAAGAAATTATAGTGCCTGAGGTTTCGTCCATCATATTTGTATAACATAATTCGTAAAAATTAACTTTCATGTCAACCTAGTTATGTAAATCGAATTTCACTAAAATATACAAGTTCTGAAATGGTTAAACAGACGAGCACTGTGCTAAATAGTAACATATAATTTTTGTTTCGAAAACTAAATTACTTCGAATGTCAGAGATTTTTGAGACGGTAATATGGCAATCAACGTGTTAACAAACTCGAGAACAAATGAGCCGTTTATTTTGAAAGTGGCATAAGTCACTTTGTTTTTAAGTCGATATATTTAAGGGTTTGCGTTTTAACACGTTTAAAAATATGGATGCTAACTTTCGAGAAGATTTACTTGTATTTGTTATCTCAGGATACTGATATTTTTCTCAGTATAAATAATTTCGTATAAACATTAAAAAATCACCACTTTTCATTATGGTAAAGTAACTTATGCCACTTTCAAAATAAACGGCTCAAATGTTATCAAGACAATTGGCGGAATTTTTGCGCAAGTGCTTCGCATTATCCTTTGTCCAGGTTTCCTCGAAGCAATTGTAGTTTGGAGTCCGGACGAAAGTCGCGGAATAATCTGGTCACAGCCGAGCAGCGATCGCGGACGTTTAGATCGATCAGTTAGATATTTAAACGATCGGCTGAATCGCGAACAACGCAATAATTACATCGGGGACAACGTTCGTTGACGTTGTGTTCTGTGTCGTGGAATAATTGCAAGTGTTGTGACGGCTTTGCGATCAACGCCCTCGGAACCAGAAACGCAATTCCGCGGGTTCTGCTTTTAGCGATCGGTCTCGCTTTCATTGAGAGCTCACAGTACGCGCGAGAGCGAAGCGTGAACTGCTACCGAACTGTTTATGCGGCGGCAATGCTAATTATTTCATTGTCTCTAGACCTGATTTCAAGTTCGGAGGCCTTGCACTTTTCAATCGGTTCATTAATGCCTCTGATATAAACATCTTATTCAGAATCCTCGCCATAGAATCTCTAAGAAAGTAAAGTAAGTAAAGTAAGTAAGTAAATTTTAGGACATACATTACGTATTTAAATCGCTGTGTGATTTTTTTATGAAAATATGTACCGCCAGTGATGGAGAATAATCTGATAAATTGATATCGATGCCTAGGATCCGGCATCGTTTATGAATGTTTAGCGTAACTCGTTGCAAAGAGATCGATACAGAATGGTTACATAAAATATTTTTCTTTTCCTATTTTAGTCGAAGCTTGACAGAGTTCTACGTCGCGTAAAGAATTTTTGTTCGAATTCATTTACGTAAAGATCCTTTTCCTTCAGTACCGCGAACTTTCAATTAACACGTAAGTGCGTTCTATCGAATGCAACGTAATTATTTACTTACGACTTTAGATAAGGTTGTCTCCATGTAAAATAGAAAATCGTACTGTAATCACTACACTGATTTCATGCATTGGTGGCAAAAATGAAGAGTTGAAATATGAAATTTTGAAGACGTGAAAAAAGTTCAATAATATTTTTACACTATTTTTAACTTATCGAGATTATTAGAAGTAATAATTTATTTCTATTTCGTTTCTGTTTTCTACAATCGTCCTCGAAAATGTTTCTTTTCCATAAATATCCGCAGTCTAGTAATCACACATACATATTTAACGCCTTCTAATTTCCTGTAATTTAGCTTTAATCCACGATACTAATAGACATTGATTAAAAAGGAACGTAGTCTTGAAATGAGTAACAAGTTGACTCAAAAAAGGAATAAACTAAAGAAGAAAACATTTATAAATCAACGCAAAGAACTACATTCCTAAATCGTACATTCCAGTTTAACTGTCTTTATCTATAGTAACAAAATTCTGTAAAGAACTGATGAATGATATTATTGCCGTTTAATATAAACGAACCTTGAACAGCTAATCTGAATCACCCTGTACTCGTTCAGTGAATGCAGCAAACGCGTTCAGCGAGTATATCGAAGTTATAACCGCGGGAGCAGACACTCGCTGTTAAAAGTTTTTAGGTGCGATCTAAACAGCCTCGAAACCATTGAATTTCAAGGATCGATCGAAGACTTTTATAGATTTCATGGCAGAGGAGGCTGACCTAAGTGGTGCTCCTGGCAGTATCGCGTGCCAGGTGGCAGGTAGCTGATGCTTGCATAAGTCAGCCGGCAAATGGACGAGCTATTTCATAGAGAAAGTCGCTTACATTTTTGCTTTCCATCGATCCAGACGGGGGCCGCTTGCGTAATCTGGCCGGTTTTATATATCTGGAACGACAAACGCGACTCGGCCACGCGACTTTCGGCAAAATCTCGATCTGACCGACGAATTTGAATCCGATTTCGCGGATCTCTGACGAAATCGTCAAGTTCCCTCTCGCCTAACCGGTTCCATGCGAGTAAGCACCCGATCGGCGACGAATTCCCCCACTTTTAACGACCTGTTGCGATTATAAATTCCTTTACCTTCGCTAGCGCGATTTCCAGAGGACCATAGGTCGACGAAAAGCATAATTCATCGGGTCGAATACTTTCTCGGCTTCTCGGTTTACCACGAATCTCGATGGACGTACCTTCTCGGCTTTTCTAGGCTTATCTAAATTTGCCGATCATGGCTATAGTCGTAAATTCTCCCGATCTCCTCGTTCTAGAAGAAACTTTGGTGAGGAATATCGCGAATTCGTGGAGATTTAATGGTTATGTTTGAAATATTGAATATCGAGTGGGTAGATTTTATCTCGAGGACTTTCGAAGTTATTGCTCCGCCTAAGATACTTAGGAAAGTTCCACTGTGTTGCCTGGCTCCACAACTAATTTACTGCAACAAATTGGATCGGGCGTAGTTACAGTCGCGTTCAAAACAGAACGACTGTAAACGTTCAAACGGTATAATTTTCTGGACCAGAAAATGAAAGGTAACTAGTTGAATTCAGATTCCACTAAGATCTAAATTAGAAATCACTTTTTCATTGAATTCTATTAATAAATAATTAAAAATTAATATTAGTAAATGTTATTGTTGTGCAAGTTTCACAGTCTGCTGAGCCAAATAGGAGTTAGTTCAGTTGATTAAGCGTTTCGTAACATCTTAAATCTGATACAAAATCACATCGCATTTTATTAAACTTTATGCAATGTGCTATTTTCTAAATCATGGATATCGTTGCATTTAATTTTATCGACATTTTGGTAATACTTCATCATCTGTAACTCATACAAGTTTTTCAAATAACCTACGAACTATAGTTGTCACATCAATTATCGAATTTACTCCTCAAAATTTCAATAAAAATGAATCCCAGTCTCTGAGACTTAAAGTCCATTGAATTGAATAAAAATTAGGCACAATTAATGAAAGCATCATTAAATATTTTAGTGAAGTTCTACTAGATTGTGAAGGAACGTGAAACGTGTTCGCACATCATCAGAGCCAGTCTAAATTGCAAAATCTTCAGCACTATAATTAAGTTACTGCATTTTCCAGCAACCGATGACCTAAACCGTGCAATAAACTCGACGTAACGATTATTACTCACACCTTCTTGACCCGGACCAGGTGCAACCCTCATCTTAGATCGCAGCAGTCACTCCAATCGCCATTACGAATACTAGATTTATGATCCGAACAGCGCAACACGATTTTACTTTCAGATCGATTATGCAAACGAAAAAAAAAAACGGATACGTTTTCGGAGCTTATCCTGGAAAAGCGGGGAGAAGAGACGGAAGCCGAGCGTTCCTCTCAATCACGCGATTACGCTGCTCGGATGATGCGAGCTGACTTAATGCTATTTTGTTCTCGGGCTCGTCACGCCGGCCGTGGGGAAAATCCGCGTGGAAAGTGATCGCCGGTCCCGCTTTCCGGCGTGTCGTAACGAAACGAATCGTTTTTCCGGTGACCCGCGTCGCCCCCCGCTCGCATAATCGATTTCTAGCTGCGGAATTCGTGCGACCTGCCGCGATGAAAATAATCGAGTTCTCGATCCGCCCGGGATCGTTACGCAAAGTGGATTGTCGACGCAACGATCGACCACTGCGACCACCCTCGCGTAGACCCTTCCGGCGGTTTTTTTACGCTTCTGGATGAGAGTTTCACCTGCGTGCTCGAATCAGCAGGCTGTTGATCTAAACTGTTTCTTTAGACGATCAGAGTAATCGAATTTCTCTTCCGTTGTTCTGGGTCTACTTGTTCTCCGTGCCAACGGGTCGAAATTTGACTCGCAACACAGTTTCGCATGGGTTCCCGCTGAATCTGTTTGTATTTCGTAAGAAACCGGTTTACGAAATGGCAAATCTATACATATATTTCTGAGTGCCATGAATTCTTTGTAATGCGTAACCGTTGGCTGCCGCACAGTGTGGCAAAATGACGAAATTGTGTCGAAATTAAAGAGCTTTTGATGCAAATGAGATAAAGCGACGATCTTTTTGCGTTGAAGTTGACATGTTGCAGGAGAAGCGAAAAATAGAGAGAACGCGGTGTGAATATCTTTTAACCTGGAAAATCTATGTTAAACTTGAAATATTCCAACAAAATTGTGATTTATCCAATACCATGTACAGTTGGATTTTTTAATGATACGTTATATATTATTTTTCTCGTAGATTTTGATACGCTGATTTCAAATCATCGGTTTGTCAAATCATTTCAAGGAAGCAATCACGATTTTGTTAGTTTTCTCACTTAAATCAATTTTTTTCAAAATTCTTTTTGAAACCACTGATATAACCACATAACCACATAACCACTGATAGATCTCCAAACGCGTACAGGTCAGTGATTTGTAGATCAGTATTATCGTGTTCGAGTTTGAAAAAAAAAGTAATGATTATACGTTTTCGCTGCATCGATAAACATTGAAATTACTAAAGAAAAAAGCACAAAGGTATTTGTGCTGGCAAACTGGAGTTATTTCAGATAATGAATAGGTTGCTGTTGGCTATGCAAATTTCCCTTCACATTGTGGCGTTTAGAAGAACCAGGTCAGAAAAGGAAAAATTGTCTTGACTGGCTATAAAGATCAATAGAGTGGAAATACAATAGAAATTTTCTAACTGATTAGAATAGAAATACGAGAGAAAATGGTTTACAAACAATGCTACGAGTGCATGAATGTGCATAGTGTAATAGTGGAAACGATACGAAAGTAAATGCGTAAGATTCATTGTGTTTTAACAGCTTCGTTACTTAGTATTAGCACGTGTGGTATTATCACTTGTTTGACCAACAGTTTTCATAATTATTAAATGAAACTTAATTAAATTTTAGTTGCTTTATTGAACTTGGAACAAGTTTAGTAAAGGTAATATGTACGTCTATTGAGAAAAATCGAATGTTAAAAATGTGATAGACATGTAGTAAAATGCAATAAATATGATACGGTGATAGAGTAAAAGATTAGAAATATGGTACAGAAGTAGTAAAGTACCAAAACTATGGAATAGAAACAATTTCAGATCAAGAAGTGGACTTAAAATAGTCGAATGTGGAAAATATACTCTAAATAAAATAAAATATTGGAGACACAACACAAAAATATGAAAACAATGGAAATATACTATCGAACGAACTGAAACATTGAGAATGCAGCAAATATATAGTATCGATCAAACCAAAATACAGAACATTCAGCATATAAATAATAAAATAATGAAATCATAGTCTAAAATTAATATCATACATTTTAGCAAACTATGATCTTGCGATTGTCACTTTGGCCAGCAGTACCTCAAACCTCAACTTTCCAATGTAAACATTATCACTGAGTTTTAAAAGAGTACTCACGAGGATGAGATCCTGAATGAGGTTCGATATCCCCCTGTTGGCGATGACGAAGAGCCTGGTGACTGGTCCTGGGACCGCTTCGGGCGCGTCTTCAACTTTTCCGGCCACAGTTCCGCCGCCGCTGGCTGCGCTTCCGCTTCCGGCCACCAGCTGGAAAAAATCAGAGTTCCCTGGTTAGTGCCGACGCCGTTCAGGTGCAGGTGATCGAGAAAACACAGTCGTCTCATCGATCCGTTCCGTGAACGCGCGTGCTCTACATCGCTTGTTCTCGGTAACGGTCGTTTTGAAAACGGGGAACAGAGAACAGTGTTGCAGAGTGTGTAGCAGCTCCACGTCCAGGCTCCAGCGCTCCCGACACTACGGTGCTATTGCATCCTGAATCCTACTTGCGGCTACGATCCATCGATCTTGCTGCTACGATCCTTACGTGCGCTCCTTCGGCTCGTGACATTGTTTCGTGGTAATTCTAGGCTGCCCATACTTGCTCGAACAATTGCCACTGATATCAGAAGACTTCATAGCAGTGGGAATTGGTATCGATCGTTCATACTCGGGTACAGAAGTTTCTAGGGTCACTGTCGGAGTATGGACAGCCTACAGGTGCATCAAAACTAGATATACATTTACCAGGACCCAAAGATACGATACATTACTGTGAAAGTTACGGCAGCATGACGCACGCTTTAGCATACCTACCTCGCCTAAATCGGGTCGTCATGGACTGGTTTTGGGCACAGCTGGTGCCGCAAACGTACGTCAATTTGCTACGAAAGTTTCCTGCGCGATCGCTGACGATTCGGCTCCAGAATAAATGCTTAGAAAAATTAAGGTCTCGGATACCAACGAGATTATTGCAATTTCCGTGACGATTAGAAGATTGTTAGGAGCCGAATCGTGCGCCGGCACGGCATCGTTCGGTGCGTTCCAACAGCAACGAGTCAAAACTACACAGCTACGTCGCTAAGAAATACGGTGCAATGGACGAGTACGAGATCACAACAACGAGAGAATCGGCAATCGATCAATGGCTGCCCTGAGATTTCCGAGTCGAATCGGCCGGGATGTCCAAGTTGCTTCGTCAGCCGAAAGTTGGTTGCATTTAGCCGGTGGTTGTCGGTGTCGCATCGGGACCGTTGGCCGGGTGGAACGATTGGAAAAGGGTGAGTCGGATTCAGTGACACTGGTTTAAGGGGCTGCTGCATACTTGTCGCGCCATGGAGTCTGGTTAGTATTTACCGGCTGGACTGTTAGTGGATTGATGATCGGTATTTCATGACTTCGTGACGAGTCACTGGAAGATAACACACTGTTCTTGTCACTTGAATTTTTTAAACCGTCGTCCATCGAATGGTTTTGCGAAACGTCGATGTCCTGAAATACTTTAGTTCGATAATGTCAATCAGGGCCTTACACTGAATGAAACACGAACTCGAAATAGTCATGAATACGCTGCAGATTTTATGCATTGATAGCACAAATGAATGCGCCGAATATAAAGTAGTCAACAAAGCTTCAATATATTGTTTCAGATCATTCGATTCATTTCAACGAAACGATGATGGTAAATTATTTGATCGTTCTTTTCATAAACAATTTGCTGTTTCCAGCAAAAAGGATGTGAATCGACGAGATTCTGTATACTTAGAATTAACATCGACAACGACTGAGGACAGATTCTGAAGCAAAAATTACGAAACATTGAACTGCTGTGCAAATATTTTTGAGCGTCAATAGAGACAGTGACACGTTGTTTTAACACTAAACCTACCAAGCAGTAGTACTAACTGGCATGTACTGCTTCACAAAAGTGAGAAGACCGAATTTATTTAGAATTTGTAAAGTTTTTATTATAAAACTTGCTCCAATAATATAACTTATTCAAGCGTTTTCCATAAAAGAGTCTCGGAACTTTGCAAAATTGCAAAATAAGAAAGCGGTCACTTTGACCGCGGTAGGTTTAGTGTTAATTCTGTATATTTGATGTGTTAACACGTTGCCTTGAAACTTATCGCCATCATTCGACATGTGATTAATCTTGACACTCTATCAGCAATTATTCAAATTACTCTATTCTAACAATAGGTATCATATGAATACGTATCATTAACAGTGACTTTTCAGTGACTCGTCAAGAACACACGAAGGCAGATTAGTGACAAAACACTGGATCACGAAACCTGGCGCACACTAGGACCACGGAATCAAGAACTTAGACGCCGCAGTAACCGCGCGCCAGGCTCTCCTGAAATCATTTCATTCGTTTCAAGAGTTTTTCAAGAGTTCCTTCAGTGAACTCGCATTCGCAGACAACCAAAGCGTAGAGAACCTGGCGCGCAGTTCATGCACAATTAAAGCGAAGGAGAACGAAGAGAACATGAAGAAGAAAAATGAAGAACAATGCAAAAAGAGAAAATAGAAATAAAGGTATCAGGCAACAAGAAACACAGAGAAACAGAGGAAGACGTGTTCGCGTGGTCGTAGTTAAACAAACAGAAGGAGGAAATGTAAATGAAAGGACGTGCGTGGTGTCAATCATGTGCGAGGAAGACGACGTGCAAATCAAACACAACCGAGTGCAGCTGTTATACTCCGTATGCCGGTGTATCGAGCTACTCGAAACGAGGCCCATGGTTTGTTTAATGCGAATTACTTCATTTCGAGGCAACAAACCGCGATCATTCCTACGTAGCGTTGCATTTACTTACGCCTTCATCGTCGCATACTATTCACTGGATTTTCCGACTTATGTTGACATAATTACTGATAGCAAGAGCAAATTAGCTTCTACGACTCCGTAACGTTCACTACCTTACGCGACGACAGGAAGGGACACTGTGCAAAGTCCGAGAGAAAAAGGAAAATTTAAATAAAGACCTTCAGTAAAAAGGAGGAGCTTTATTTCCGCAACACCATCACATTTATATCTTTCTGTTTGCGCAACGCTACGGAGGAGTCACAGTATCTAGCCCGAGACAGTCGTCAATTTTGATTAAATCCCTCGATTAAGACCCTCTTCATGCGACGCTACAAAGGAAACACTGTGCCGATCCCAGGACCAAGGATAATCTCGATCAAATACTACCCAGAAAAACTGTAATTGACCTCAAAGCAAAACACTAGCTAAGTGTACACGATCTCCTGGCATTTGTATCAGTCTCTCGTTGGACGCTACAGAGAACACCCTGTGCCAAAAATGAGGATCAACTTTCAAAAGTTGTCGCAGACTTCAAAGAGAAAAATGTACTAATTTTGCATAATCTTTTAACATTTCGACCAGCCCCTCTTGCGCGACGCTACAATGGAAAGCTGTGCTCGACGCACGACAAGAAAATACTTTTATTCGGAGACGTACAAGTGGTCTTTGGAAGCAAAGGCAAACTATTATCCACCCTTCCCTGACAACATTACAGGCGACGCTGCGGATGCTTAATTTTGATCAAACACTTGCAGGAAAGGACTTCGAAAGAAGTGTTCGCAACCGGAAGACCATGTATCAGTGAAAGGAAGCAGAAACCATGAGAGAAAGACAGAAGAAGAGTAAAAGAGAGAAAGAGAGAGAGAGAGAGACAGAGAGAGAGAGAGAGTGAAAGAAGCCAGAATAAACGAAGATTCGGATCGAGGCCCGATCCCAGCGATCATCGGCTGGAGAGGAGAATCTGCGCCGAGGACCGCAGGATCAGAGGAGCCTCTTCCGGTCCCGTTCACCAGGAGATAAGTGCAGTCGGCAGTGTCCGTTCGGCTCTGCTCGGAAGGATTGGCGTACCGGTGGTAGGTTGCCGGCTGCTGACGCGTTGTTGCTCGAGGATCCCGTGGTGGCCGAGGAACCAGCTGGAGCGGCAGCAGGGGCGGCATCTTGGGGAGCCGGGCCCAAGTCCCGGGAGGCGCTTAAGCCGAGCCCTAGGCTCTGCGTACCTGCCACCACGCGGTACACCGTGCCCGCCGCTCTTGCCGCCCCGTCGGCCGCTTGCTAAACGAGAACAGAGACGAGAACTTTCGTTTACTGATCCGCTCCTCGGGTAGTAGGCCTGACTGAGTGTGTGTTTTGCTTTTTCATTGACTTTTGTTCGGTTCGGGTTAGAGGTCGCTGCTCGCCCCCGTCCAGTCTGAAAACGGTCTCCTGAAAAGCGGCTGAAAGTCTTTAGTGGATGGACACTACCATGTCGCTTTCGTTGGTCCCCTTTCGCATCCTACTCCTTCGTACTACCTTCCGTTTAGAGAAATGCGTTTGTACGTCCTCTTTCAAGGATCTTTTGCATCGATGTCTTTCTTGAGTGAAAAGTGGAGGACTCAGGGTTTGCGGATATTCAATGTTTTGGAAGCAATAGCTTTCCCGTATATATTTATCCTTAATCGCAATTGTGAACAGATGTTTCTTCATGCTATGTTTTGCTCAGAGGATCGAGAGCGAGAGGGGAATGAATATCCTCTTTGTGGATTTGTTGCATCGCTGTCCTTCTTAAATGGAAATGGAGGACCCAGGATTTGATTAAAATTCGATCAAGTTTGGAAAGAAAATTACTACTATAGATACAGTTTTGTTTCGTTCAAAACTATTATAAAATAATACCAGTATATCCTTGCTATACTTTGTTTAGATTATAAACTTTAAAGGATCGAGGAAATTAATATTAGCTACGAATTCTCTTCAAGAAGGGAGCACGGTCTTTCTTCTGTGAAAAGCGATAGCTGCAATTTTGACTGAAAAGTCACAGCTATAATTTCGACTGAAAGTTCATCCTCTTTATGGAAAACCATTCTAAACAACTGCCAACAACTTGGTCAATAATGAAAGCTAGATTTGCACTTACCACATCACATCATTCATGTAAGGATGGATATAGAAAGACGTATACGGAATTGAAAGTTTGTTTCATTTTTGTACGATGTTCCTGGACCAAGATAATTAATATTGCGCTCGTTTCAATTCATCGTCGACTGGAGCATCGTTGCATATTCAAGAAATTAGAGAATGAATTCGGGATGACTTACGTATTCAGATAATTGCATGAAAGTTGACAGAAGTAATTTAGAAACGTGTTTCAGGAATTCTATAGAGATTCATTGAATGAAATCGAGTGTATGGAAGATTTAAAGTGGAGATCGAATCATCGAGACCAGTGACGTTAAGAAAACGCACGGTAGATTTCTGGCCCCATAAAAGGAAGGCATCCGTGGACCAGTTTCGGGTCGAATCGACTAGTCAACTGCTTTGGCTGGGCGTGCAGCTGCAGTGAACGTTCCTGGACAATGAATGCCGTGCACTTTATCCGGTCAACCCGTTCACTGAATAAAACAAGAGAAATCTCTTAATAATCTTCGCGTTATTATTGTGGAAACTGGACTCCAAACGCGTTCCGCGTTGTCCCGATTACTTTCTAGGGTGACTCTCCCGTTGTTACCATCGTTAATCCGATGGCAATTAAGAGTGTCGCCTGTCGTCGAAAGTGGAACAAATCCTCGGACAACTCGACGACTCCACAAGCCCAGGAGTTTTCAGACTAGAAAATTAAATGTTTATTGCAAAAGCAATCTTACTAGCAACCAGTGGAAGATTCGAAGCCTTCGGTGGTGTAGCATTATTCCGTAGACCTGTCCTGTTGCTTAATAAGGAAATTAATATAGTCGCGTCGGCGGTCGATAATTGTCTGCGAGGTCGGGTCGTGGTTAGGTCAAGAACCTTGAAACAACAATCGACACAGCTCGGAAATTCGGTCCAAGACTTTCACCGGTGTCTAGAATAAGCGCCCTTGTCGCCGCCGTGCCAGCCTTTTACTTGAATATTAAACAATCTACCGGTTTAGTCGCGCGGCACCGATCTTTGTTGCAGTTTCACTATCGTTCGTTTCATTTTCTTTTTTCTCAGGCCGAGGGGACGAACGTGAGTTGAACTGTGCACTGGACCGGCGACAATTTTGTCGTATATGTGTTAAAAACTCGGGTCCACTCATGAGTTTTTAAAAAATTTTTCTGAACAATCTCAGACTAAGCATTTCACTGCGTCAATCAACTCAGAAAATGGCAAACTGTAAGTCAGTTTATGAGCAGAAGCTGGAGAACCGAGTAAAATGGACCTAGGTTTAAGCACGAAGATTCCAAATACTTTTATAAGATTCAGATATAAAATGTGAAATTGTGAAACTAGGAATACACTCTGCTTGATTGCAACATTTCCTGCTGCATGAGTTACTTCTGCTTCAAGTATGAAATTACGGAAGTGGTAACACAGCTTGTTTGATTCCTATTTATATAATTTTTCTTGTTCGTCTATAAATTTTAGAGAAAATTTCTCCACTTTTCACTCAATCTTCGTCAACATTCGAGAATCGAGGGTTTTCCACGGTCACGGAAAACTCACCCTGATTATGTCGAAGAGGAAGTTGCCGGAGCCGGCTCCGCTGCCGGAACTGCCGGACCCGCCGAACCCGAAGTTCAGGAATCTCTTGTTCCTGTTCTCGTCGTCTTCAGTTTCCACCTCGTCCAGCGGTGTCAACGGCGCCGTGTCGCTAGGCTGTTCGTCCGCGAATTGCACTTTGACCTCATTGTTCTGCGACTCTGCTGCCACCTCGTTCGCCCTGTCCTCCGCCTCCGGGTTTACGTCCTGCGAACAGAAGTTCCACGATCGATCTCCTCGAACTTGCTGCCAAATCACTACCGATCGATCGCCAGCAAAACTGTTCCTCTTCGAAGAACGTCACAAGAAGATCATGGTACAAATCAAGAACTTCCTGGTCCGAAGTAGGAACGAAATTGTCTGCAATTTCGAAATCTACTCTTTCTCGTTTTAACATTTTGACTGTCAAGCAACTTTACGCTTTAGAATCGGTCATCTTAAACATTTCATGAAATCAGAGAAATTCATTTAGTGTGATTAAGATCGAAAGGTCAAGGTGTATGAATACTGAAAGTAAATAGCTTTCATCGTCTCTTAGCAAATGTCATCTTCTATAATTTCTGCAGGCTATCAAGAAAGACTAAAATAACGTCTGTTTACGCACAGAAATATTTATGGCAGTAAGTGAAATTCAACTTTATTGGATCATATTATCAAAGGTACACGTGCTCGATCGGCTTTGGAAGGCACTTTTGTAGAAAACAAAGTCTGCTGACTTCGTTACTTTCCTATTGGTATCTGTTTTAACTGTGAACGTTGGAGTTTCTCCCTAAATTTGTACCACGATTTACGACGTCTTCGTGCAAGCACCTCGGGGAGTAATCAATTCACAATTTGCTCCGCATTCATAGCAAGCGGTTTCCACTCGCAATTTGTCGGGATAACGCTCGCAAAACGTGTTCGAGCGTTTCTACGATTTGATGGCGATCGAGCGGAACACGCGGATTAGATGGTGCATGGCGACGCGTGTTCTCGCGATGTCTCATGATCGGGAAACGCATCGGCGATTATATTAGTTGACAAATTAAAGCTCTACTGAATTTAATGGATTAGCGCACGATTCCCAATTCCGGATTCGCTGACAAACCCTGCTAAACAGTGTTACGCTGTGCTCGATTTACACGCATTTGACGTTGGTGTAAATCGTGCTAATATTGCAGCAAATGCGCGTGAATATAGCATAGCACGAGTTGTATATGCATTCGATGCTTCATATCGATCGTGAAACAACAACGAGAAAATTTAAATGTATGGTTCTTTGTTGAATGCGAAATCCGTACATAAAAACGATCTCGATACTATTTCATTGATTTCTCTAAAATAAATGTCTATGCAATGAAATCCTTGCAAGATCGCTTTAGCATCGGTTCAAAGTATCGAACACAGGTACTCTTGCTATTCTCTCTTTTGTTTAGCTTAATTTGTCAGGAATCCAGGTCTGAAATTCAAGTTCGTTGGGAATCTCACGGCAACGAGTCGTCAGGGTACCTTCAGGATTGCCAAAGCAACTTTATATAGGTGCATTGTATTCAGTAATCACTAAACCCGAATCGATGGCAAGTTCCGCTCATCGATCAGCACAAATTCAAAAGTATCCACCTCCTGTCGAGCCCCGTGCGAATACTTTCGACTCAACGATGTTCCGAATGTTCGTCCGTCGATCGTAACGATAAAAGATGACTAATGGATCGCCGAACGCACAAAAGAAGAAGCCAACAAGATGTGTCAAAGAATGAGGGACAGAGAATCAATGATCAATGAGAAAGCTGGAAGACGAGGATCGTCGACGTCTGGTTCGCAGCAAAGGTCATCGACGTCCTCCATCGTTCTGAGACCGACCGCGGTCTCAGTGAAAGATCGTCTTCACTGAAGCTTGAAATGAATCGAAAGCAAGAAGTGCTTTGGAGTTCGATGATCGACGAAAGAAACTGTCAGCTCGACAAAAGTTTCCTGTCGTAACGACAATGAGCGTGTACACACAGCGAAAGAAGACAAAGAAAGACAACGCGGATGCACGAGAGATAAAACATAACAAACAGAGAAAAGGCAGATGAGTTAGCAGACAATAGAAGAAGAAGAAGAAGAAGTGGTTGGTAACACAGGAGAGTCTAGCTGCCGCAGCAGTCCCGATTGCGCGGTGACTATCCTCGTCAGTCCGTAACTCCCGATCGGGTTCATTGACCTCCAACGTTTTNTTAAACATTTCATGAAATCAGAGAAATTCATTTAGTGTGATTAAGATCGAAAGGTCAAGGTGTATGAATACTGAAAGTAAATAGCTTTCATCGTCTCTTAGCAAATGTCATCTTCTATAATTTCTGCAGGCTATCAAGAAAGACTAAAATAACGTCTGTTTACGCACAGAAATATTTATGGCAGTAAGTGAAATTCAACTTTATTGGATCATATTATCAAAGGTACACGTGCTCGATCGGCTTTGGAAGGCACTTTTGTAGAAAACAAAGTCTGCTGACTTCGTTACTTTCCTATTGGTATCTGTTTTAACTGTGAACGTTGGAGTTTCTCCCTAAATTTGTACCACGATTTACGACGTCTTCGTGCAAGCACCTCGGGGAGTAATCAATTCACAATTTGCTCCGCATTCATAGCAAGCGGTTTCCACTCGCAATTTGTCGGGATAACGCTCGCAAAACGTGTTCGAGCGTTTCTACGATTTGATGGCGATCGAGCGGAACACGCGGATTAGATGGTGCATGGCGACGCGTGTTCTCGCGATGTCTCATGATCGGGAAACGCATCGGCGATTATATTAGTTGACAAATTAAAGCTCTACTGAATTTAATGGATTAGCGCACGATTCCCAATTCCGGATTCGCTGACAAACCCTGCTAAACAGTGTTACGCTGTGCTCGATTTACACGCATTTGACGTTGGTGTAAATCGTGCTAATATTGCAGCAAATGCGCGTGAATATAGCATAGCACGAGTTGTATATGCATTCGATGCTTCATATCGATCGTGAAACAACAACGAGAAAATTTAAATGTATGGTTCTTTGTTGAATGCGAAATCCGTACATAAAAACGATCTCGATACTATTTCATTGATTTCTCTAAAATAAATGTCTATGCAATGAAATCCTTGCAAGATCGCTTTAGCATCGGTTCAAAGTATCGAACACAGGTACTCTTGCTATTCTCTCTTTTGTTTAGCTTAATTTGTCAGGAATCCAGGTCTGAAATTCAAGTTCGTTGGGAATCTCACGGCAACGAGTCGTCAGGGTACCTTCAGGATTGCCAAAGCAACTTTATATAGGTGCATTGTATTCAGTAATCACTAAACCCGAATCGATGGCAAGTTCCGCTCATCGATCAGCACAAATTCAAAAGTATCCACCTCCTGTCGAGCCCCGTGCGAATACTTTCGACTCAACGATGTTCCGAATGTTCGTCCGTCGATCGTAACGATAAAAGATGACTAATGGATCGCCGAACGCACAAAAGAAGAAGCCAACAAGATGTGTCAAAGAATGAGGGACAGAGAATCAATGATCAATGAGAAAGCTGGAAGACGAGGATCGTCGACGTCTGGTTCGCAGCAAAGGTCATCGACGTCCTCCATCGTTCTGAGACCGACCGCGGTCTCAGTGAAAGATCGTCTTCACTGAAGCTTGAAATGAATCGAAAGCAAGAAGTGCTTTGGAGTTCGATGATCGACGAAAGAAACTGTCAGCTCGACAAAAGTTTCCTGTCGTAACGACAATGAGCGTGTACACACAGCGAAAGAAGACAAAGAAAGACAACGCGGATGCACGAGAGATAAAACATAACAAACAGAGAAAAGGCAGATGAGTTAGCAGACAATAGAAGAAGAAGAAGAAGAAGTGGTTGGTAACACAGGAGAGTCTAGCTGCCGCAGCAGTCCCGATTGCGCGGTGACTATCCTCGTCAGTCCGTAACTCCCGATCGGGTTCATTGACCTCCAACGTTTT